AAAAAGAAACATAAGTAGCGATGAATACCTGGCACAGCACAGCCTCCTGCGGGGCAAGCTGCTGGCAATGCCAAAGGGAAGCAGGAGGGCTGCCCAAAGGGAACCAGAAGCACAGCTCAGCACCTGGCACATCACCTCTGCTCTGCCTTGAAGAGGGGGCTGCTCTGAGTGTCCCTGTTGGCTCAGGATGGGCGGCAATGGGGTATGGTGTGAACCAAGCATGGGGCTGGCAGGGCAGCAGCTCTGCACTGAGCCCAGCCTGGGGCTGGGAAGGGGCACACCAGGATTTTAGGCTGCCCATGCAGGAGCAGAGGGACACACGGTAACCTCTCCACCTTCACAGGGAGGACCCCAAAAAGCACAGCTCTGCTCACCCATGTGCTGCAGCCTGGCAGGATGCCCCCAGCCAGGAGACAAGACCTGACAGCACCAGGTGACGGACTGCTCCAGGCAGGCAGCAGGCACTGGCACTGTGCCGGCCTTATCTCACCACACCAAGCGATGTGGCACAGGGAGGAGCCGTAGGGCAGGAGAGCACAGGGCTGCGTGCCAGAGCCCCGGCACCGCCATGGAAACAGCATTTCCTTGCACGCAATTCAGCGTCAGTACGGGCTGACACCCCCAGCCCAGCCCCCCGCCCCCAGCACACAGGTAGTGCAGTGCTCTGCGCTGCGGGAGCAGAGATCAGCAGTGCACCCACAGCCCTGCAGAACTGCCTCTGGGCACGGGTGCACACCATGCCAGGAGCAAGAGCAGGACCTGGTGCTGCAGGAAGGACACGACGTCGCACCCCATACCCTCCTCTTGGACCCAGCCCCGATTGCAGCTTGCATTCTCCCCCCCAAAATACAACAAGCACTTTCCTGAGCAAGGACAGCAGCTCAACCCCTCACATCACCGCACCGCTGCATCACAACGCACGCCTCCAGGTTCAGAGCTCTGTCAGGGAGCTGCATCCCGGGGCAATTTAAGAAATACGTTCACAAATTCAAACTCTGCTGCCTGTCCAGACCCTGATGCTCAGCAGCCTCTTCCTCTGGTGCAAAGTCCCAGTGCAGCAGCACCTCTGGTACAACACAGAGTGCCACCACACGGCAGGATGGGGCACAGGGAGGACCTGGGTGCCTGCAGGGCAGACCAACGAGCCCTGTGCCAGGAGGGGCCAATGGTGCCCAAGCAGAGCACACTGCCCCTGGACCGCAACATGTGAATGAGCGAATGCAGCACCTGGCAGCAGGAAGGCTGCGTCCAAGCGCTCCTTCTCAGCGTCTGTCAGCAGTCGCAGACTTTCTGCTGCCCAAATGCTTTTTAGAATGAGGCTGTGGCACACAGGTTTGTGCGCAGCCCTGCAGAGCTGACAGCAGCTGCACAGCAACTCCTCCAAAACTCACAGCAGAGACCTCAGCAGTAGCAAGCACCTCCAGAGCAGGGCACGTTCCTGCTGCTCACCTCCAGCAGGGAGGCAGAGGAGGAGCCTTCAAGTCGTGCTGAAAGTGAAGCAAAGTATTATTAGTTGTACTACATCTCATTTGAATAAAATTCAAGACAAGCTGCTAAGTATGTGGCTACACGAGCCACACAGGTCATGCAAAAGAGGCAAAGGCGCTCCGGCCCCGAGCTGCCAACCACAGGCTGCTGCCACACCAAGTGCTCCTCACAGCCCTCAGAGAGGACAGGGAGGTGGAAAATCCACCCTGACATGGCTGAGCCCTGAGGCTGGGGCCGGCTGCAAAGCTGCACCTTCGCTGCAGGAATGAAGCAGAAAAATCAGAAGCAACTCATCTGGAAAAAGGAACGAGCAAAGTCCCACGTTTCCCAGCTCAGATCAGTGCAGGATACCTCAGGGACACAAGTTGGATGCTCTGACACTGGCATTCCATGCAGTGAGATGGGACAGGGCTCACCACAGGGCTGCTGAAGGCTGGGGAGCTGGAACAGATGCACTCTCAATGTGCGGATGTCTTATTAATACAGAGAACATAACCCTGGGTGCCTGCTGGGGATGCCCTGCTGCTCGGAGCAGCATCACTTAGGGCAAACACGCGAATCATCCCACAGGCTACAGGCAGCACAAACCCCAGCAGAGCAGGAATCCATGGCACTGCCAGAGAAAGATCCAGAGAAGGCAGTCAGACTTCAAAAGCACGAGATACCACCACCTGCTGCAATTACTAAAATAGGAATTGAGCAAATAATGGAGATGCAACATCAGAAGGGCACGGAGGATAAAAGCAGCCATGCAGCATAGAGCTCTCATGCTAAGCCCCAGTCCCACCAAGAACATTGGGCAGCACAGAGCCAGGTCACCCCCCAGCTGAGGGGCCAAGCACAGCCCATGGTAACCTACATGCCCAGATCTGGGCTGCCAGTGCCACATCCCAGCAGCGCTGCCAGGGCACAGCTGGAGCTGACTCAACCCAACCCCAGCACCAACCCCACAGCGTTCATTTTCAGTATCCAGAAAGCACAGTGCTCCTTTTCCTTCAAAACTGAGTCCACAAGAGGTGAAGCTGTCTCCTGGTAATGAATGTGTCTCCAATCATTACTGCTTTCACCTGCAAAAATAAGAGCCCATGCTGGAAAGGTCAAGGTTGAAGCCCTGCCTCTCCTCCCCCCAGCCTGTACGTAGGGCTTGGGTTGGTACAGCTTCCTCCACAGAGGAGTAAGGCAAAAGGGATGAAACCCATCAGAGCAGGGCTTTGGGTTTCTTCACCCCGTGTTCAGCACAAGGCCTTTTGCTCACGCAACACCCAGGGTGCAAAGCCTTCACCCAGGTGTACACCTCCAGCAGCATGATTTGGAACTGGGCTCACGGAGTCTGACACATTTCCTTATTCCCGGAATAAGCCCTGTTTATATCAAATGAAATTAATTGGGTTGAACAATGACAGAAAGTTTCACTTTTGATTCCAAGCGAGCTGCAGCCACAGGCACAGCCCTGGGCAGAGCACAGCAGCCACACAGCACAGTGCAGAACACACACTGAGCACCCGATGGAGGCTGCTGCGAGACGAACCACAGCCACACACCTCTGCACACACTGCACACAACAGACGGGCAAAGCTCTCCCTGAAGATGAGAGGGGAAATCACAACTACCTTGTTTTGACTGCTAAGCTGTGTGGCAGCTGAGGAAAAGTCCCTGTGCACAGCGGTCCCCTGGCGCACACACGCAGGGAAGAGCACAGGGCACTTTGCACCAAGCTTCCATTTGCTAAATGCTGCTGGGCAGAAGCAGGGAGCAGCACAAGAAAGGGCACCACGGAGCCACACGCTGCCCTGGCTGGAACCTGGGTGCACAGAGCCCTGCAGCAGTGCCAGCCCTGCTCTCCCTGTCAGCTCTGTCCTCGCCGAGTGATGGCTGTGACATCTCCATCCCACCACCAAGCATTCGGATCTGCACAGCCACCAGAAATCCCAAGGCACACAGGGACAAGCAGGCGGCACAGCAGAACCAGTCGGGTGCCTTCAAATTACCTCCTGGGAGAGAGAAGAGCAGACAGAATGAGGCAGCAAGGCACAGGGCTGCCACCCTCATCCACGGCCCCAGAGTGCAGGGAGGTGACAGCCCTCGTCACCATGGCACACGGCCCCTGCAGGGGACACAGGAAGGGGCACAAAGTGTCAGCAGCGTGGGCACCGCAGCTCCCGTGATGGAGAACAAGTTCAGTGCACGATGCTCTGAGTGCATAATTCATGTCTCACTTCAGGTCTCTGCGTTCGCAAAACTTTCTGAATAATTGATGGCTGGTGCACGAGGGAGGACGAGGGACGCGCTGCTGAAAACCAGGTCACCTCCATGCTGGGGCACACAGAAGGGAGACAATGGGAGCAGGGCAGACCCGCACTGAGCAGAGCGGTATTTATCTGCACTCACAGTCACACACACCCAGAGCTGCTCAGACATCATAGGGCACTTTGCAAGAGCAGTTCTACAAGCGAACCTTATTTCAGCCTTCTGGATTGTTGTTTGTTGTAGAGAAGCTACAAAACCTACACCTCAGCACCACCTCTACCCTCACGCAGGGCACACGCACAGCAACCAGAGAGCAGCTCCACAAAACCCACGGGAAAGGTCTGGCACCACCACACAGCAGCGGGGCCGATGCTGAACCAACAGCTGGAGCACGGCTGCACCCCGCAGCGCCGCGTCCCTCGCACCCAGCACCCATCTCGAAACAAAGAGGATGTGAAATGTTTGGTAGAAAACGCAAGAGGAAGGCAAAAGCGAGCGTACGTCGCCAAGACTTGAAGCAATTTCGGTTCCGTGCCGCCGCCCTGAGCTGGGGGCCCCGGGTGCACAGCCTGCGTCCCACACACGGCACGGACGGATGGACGGACGCAGTGATGGAGGTGGGAGCAGCACTTGGCAGCCAGGTGGGCAGTGCCGCTGCAGCAGCGTGCCACGCACCCTACCCAGCACACCCCGTGCACAGTGGGATGCCCTCCCACCTCAGACAGCCACAGAACAACACCTGGCCCACCTGCCCTGCACTGCAGCTTGTGGTAGATCCCAGATCCACACCTGCAGCACATCAGACAGCCAGATTGGGACCCACGCATTTATTCCTTAAACGCATTTCCAGCCAAGAATACCATCATTTGTTCAGGAACGACACGAACGCTGCAGGCACAGCCACCACCGCGCCACGGCCCCGCAAAACCACGCGTGTCCCAGCGGGGGCCGGGTCCCGTCCCACCCGAACCGCCGCCGGGAGATGCCCCGCTGACCCCACGTGGGATCCCCCGGGCTGCCCGCGGAGCCCCCTGCATCCCAGCGTGGGCGCATCGCGGGGATCGCAGCGTCACTGGGACGAGGCGCGGGAACGCTGCGGGTGGCCGGGGCTGCCCCGTGCCCGCACCGGGAGCGGCGAGAGCGGGGCGGGCGGGGCCGGGCCGGGCCAGGTGGGCTGCGGGAACCGGGGCGGTGCGGGGCCGGGCCGGGGCGGCGCGGGGGAGGCGGGAGAGGCCCGGCCCGACCGCCCCCCGCCCCGCACTTACTCTTGAGGGCGACGATGAGCGACTTCCCGTCCTTGATGAGCTCCTTGATGAACTTGTTGGTCTTCTCCAGCTCGGCCTCGTGCGAGCGGAGCCGCTCCCGGAACTGCGGGCTGTCCAGGCAGCACTCGCTGAATTCCAGCGCCGGTAGCCCCATGCTGCCCGCCGCCGCACCGCGAAGAATTAACAAAAAAATTTAAAATGTATTTTGTCTTTTTTTTTTGGATGAGAAGCGCTCTCCCGCCTCTCAGGGAGCTGCCGCCGCCGCGGGGCGCGCCCCAGAGCGGGCCGGGCCGGGCCGAGCCGTGCGGGAGCGCCGGGGGCGCCGCTGCCGCTGCCGCCGCTCTGGGGCCGCCGCCCGGGCAGGGCTCGCGCCGGGCGCGGCGCCGCCTCCCCCGCTCGCTGCCGGCCCGCGCCGCCGCGCCGCGCCCCCGCTCGGCCACGCCCCCGCCGCGCTCGCAGCCAATGGGCGACCCCGCAGCGCGGCGCCACGCCGCCCGCGTCTCGCCGCGCCCCTCACGGCCGTGGCCCCGCCCCCTCCGCCCGCAGAGCCAATGGGGGGCGGTGTGAGCGCGGTACGGGTGGTCTCGCGGGGCTGCGCGCGCCGCGCGGTCCACGTGTCTCGTTCCGTCCGAGCCCGCGGCCGTGCTGCTGCCCGCGTTAATTGCGCCCGTTAACGAGCCCGCGAGGCAGCACCTGAGGCGCAGCGCTGGTACTGCCCGGCGGGACGCGCCTCCAGGCCCTACTACCCCGTCCTCACAGCGCGTCGTGCAACGGCCGCCCTGCTGGTGAACGCAGGGGGCGCGTGGGCAGCCCCCCACCGCGAGCACCTGGATAATCTCGGGCGCGGCGCGGCTCCCTCTGCTCGCAGGTTTTGCACTGGCAGCCAAAAGTCAGGCAGGAGCAGCCCCTCAGTAGTGATACCGGGACGCACGTGATGCGGCCCCGTGGGTGTGAGAACACGCGTTCTGGTGCCAAACAGCCGAGCGAGCCCTGAGCGAACGCCTGCAGCGCGTCCCCAGCAGCGTGCGCCCAGCTCCGCGCAGTGTGGGCAGACACGCTCTGCGACACCTGACCCTGCGCACCCGGTGCAGCCAGCAGGAGCCACTTTCGGGGCGGAGGGTCACTCGATCGCCGGCTGGTCGCCGCGCCCCGCTCCCGGCGCTCAGCACAGCGGGCAGAACCCCGCTCTGCAGGCGGACCCATCCCGGACGGAGCGCGGCGGCCGGGCGGCATTCCTGTCCAATCAGCCGTGAAACGCACGGCCGAGCCGGCGTCGTGCTTTTTGCAGACGGGAAAGCGGGCGCTTCTGCACAAAGCCGCGGGGCGGGCGGTGCTGGGAAGCGAATCCAGCCGTGTTCGCCGGGCCGTGGCACGGCCGCCCACCGCAGCGCCCGCTCCGCAGGTCGGATGCGCGACCTTCTCAGCCGTCACAGCGCAGCCTGAGTGGGGCTGAGTCACCGCCTCCCTGCACAGTCTGCAGGCGCAGCTTTTTGCATGCGGTCTCCTAATTACAGAAGGGATGTAATACTAATTACATGCTTATCTTGCAGGCAGGATATAAAGTTTAATTAGCTGTCATTTACGCCATATGCACGGAGCCCTGTGAAAGCACTAGATGTTGTTATTTGGATTTTGCTCCTTTTTTTTCTACACTGTTCAAACCACAGCAGCACGTATTTTGGTTTTATCCTTCCACATCCCTACCGTTCCTATGAAGAAAGTGTTCCAGCACTTGCAGCTAATACAGAAGAGCCTGTACCTGGGTTTGTAGGACACCGCCTTAGAGGATCAGAATATCTGGGGCTGGAAACTAAATTTCTTTTGCCACCATTCCAGATCTGTAGAAAACAGTGATGCTCAGACTGTCATTTTGTGGACAGGACAGAGTTGAAGCGTTGCAAAGCTCTGTCACATGAAATATCACACACACCACAGGACTCAAACAAGGCCCCACGCAGGCAGCGATTAATGCATCCAGTCGTGCTGTGCTCCCCTTTTTCCTGCTTACGCTGCATTCATCAGCGTATTCAAGCTCTGCATGCAGGAGCAGAGCAGGGCAGCAGGCAGTGGGAAGCAGCCATGGATGTATCCCAGCCAAGTTTTGCTGGGATTGTGCATCCAAAGTGTAAAAGGACACCAGCAAAGGAAAAACAATAAAACTTCCACATCCTCCTGCCTGCGGGTAAAGGCTCACGTCCCTCCTGATATTTGCTTGCTTCAACTTTTATTGTTTCTAAGCAGCTCGGCCATCTTCCATTGAAACAGGTCAGTCGGTTGGGCACCAAATGGGTCTGGCCATGCTGCCACTGAGACCCAGAGACATCCCTGGCTGCTCCTGGCCATCCGTCACCTGCAGCATCCTCTTGGTGTTGGTGCACCTCAGTCCCACAGAGCTGTGTTCTGCCACACGCTGCCACGGTCCCTGGCTCTCCAGTCCTGCAGCAAATTGGCCCAGGGAGCAACGTCAGCAGAAAGCTAATCCAGCATTAAAAAATAATAATAATTAAAAAAACAGCGTTTTCTACTGAGTTAGGCTTGCTCTGAGATCAAATAACAGGCAGTGCGGATGCAAGGCTGCAGGCCACAGCCATCACCTGCACATAGGCTGCAATACCGTCAGCCCCACTGCTGCACCCAGCCCTCGCAACACCAGCACCAGTTCCAGGGCCACAAACTCAGCCAGATTGGGTGGATGGGCTGGGCACACAGAGATGTTTCTGTAAAGCTGCAGTGAGTATTTGGACCATCAGAGCCCAGGTGCTGCAGGAGAGGGTTCCCAGATTTGCCCTCAAGCTGCAATGTTCAAGGTCTATTACTTGACTTGGTATCACAAGCCATTATTACATGACTGCTTTATCTTTCTTGCTGCTATGGATTTGTTTATTGCACAAGGCACAGATGAAGCACTGTATATGGCGCACACACACACACAAAAAAAGATTCCAGATAATATATTAGCTATCAGAATGGATCTGTGTGAATTCCTTGTTGTAAACCAAAGGGCATGAATGGACCTTCTGTACTCATAGCCTTGAAGGGAGCAAATCCTTGAGCTCACACCTACTGTGAGCACAACTCCAGAGCAGCACCAGGAGTTCCCCTTCCTCAGAGCACCCAGCAGATCTCTGTGGCTGACAACTCAGGCTCTCAGCTTAGCGCAGCTCACTTTCAACTGATTCAAAGAAAATACATTTCTTAAATTTTTGTTCATTGCCACTTGTATTACCAAGTCCTCCTGGCTCCCATGGACATAGATCTGGTCACTGGTTTATTCTGAGCACCAGCACCAGTGGGAAGTGCTGCGAGTCAGCCTGAGCCCTGCTGGTAACAGGGGGCCCCCTGCCCCAGCCCAGCTCCATGGCAGGTGTCACAGCACAGAGCAGAACCTGCTCCCAGCACTGCTGTCCCTGTGCCTGCAGCCATCCCACGTTGACTTGCTTTGGTTCCTTGATCGAGGCAGAAGAAAGCCCTCTGGATATGCACTGAGTGCCTTTTGCACCCCTGACCCCCGCAGTTCTGCTAACCAGGACAGCCCCACACGCAGCAGCAGAAACCTCATGCAGGGGGCACTTCCCATTGCAGAGAACTGGAGCAAACATCAGCAAAGTGTTGATTACCTTCTCCTTCCCTAATTTCAGCGCAAGTTCAGTCCCTTTATCATCCAGACTCTAACAGAAGCATTACTCTGAGGATCAGCGCTCGACCTGTGACACTCAGAGGTCGCTACCCAACAGCAGAGCGCTGTGACTGGGGCCGTGGTGACCCCACTGCAGCCCCTCTGTGCAGCACCATTCACACTGCAGTGTTAGTGGCACTGTGCAGGCACGTAGGGACAAACAAAGCCATGCATTATTATCTGCTGTCTGCAGCAGGATGGGGACTGCTCTCATGTCACAGGACAGGGGCTGTGTGCTCGAGGCGCCTGGGGATGGCTTTGTTCTGAATCGCAGAGATGAGGGGAAGGAGTTACAGGGTCAGGGAGCTGGGTGCCCAGAGGCGCTCAGTGGGAGCACTGCACAGAAAGAGACATCCCAGCTTACACACAGAGATCTGTGCTCACAGCAGCTCTCAGGCCAAGGCAGGGCTGCGCTCTCCCTCGCTGCTGCTCCAGGCTGCATCCCACCCATGGGGGGGTGGAGGGGGCTTCATCCCATGGAGTGCCTCCCAAGAAAGGGAACGGTATGGGCTGAACATCTTCGCTGAGTTCTCCAGGGAGCTCTGGGAGCCATCAGGTGCATTTGGGGCTGCAGAAAGGCACCAACCAGGCCGCCCAAGCTAGAGCTACATACACAGAGGCCAAATCAGAAATAAGTTCTCAATTAAATGGAAAAGTGCAATTAGTCATGGCCCCGTAAATTGCTACAGCACAGGAAGCAGGAATGGCAAAGCAAAGAGCAAACCAAGGGCTAGGAAATCTTCAAAGATGTTCACAGAAGGAGTATTTAAATAACAGAGTTAATTATAGATATGACAAAGTTCCATTGTCAGGAAAAGCCAAACAGTCTGCCTATTCTTACCCTCATTTCTTCAGGAAAGAAGAAATCTCATCGAAGGACGGGCCAGGCGGCTGCCACTCACTTCCTCTGCGAGCACAAAGCATCAGCCCACAGCCCCGGTCTGCACAGCAAGCAGGAAGGGCCCAGCACACACAGGGTGCTCAGCACAGCCCCAGAGCAGATCTGAGCTCAGCTGCAGTCCCAGAACTCCCTTCATGGGCCCCAGCCCTGTTGCTGCTCCCTGCCGCAGGGTGGGACTCTGATGGGCAGCACCTGGTGCCAGCAGCCCTCCAGCCCTTCCCACATCCCACACCCAGCTTTTCCTCACTGCCCTGTGCTGGCTCTCATCTTCACGGGGCTGCGTGGAGCAGAGAATGGACCTGGCTGTAGCAGAGCTAGGTGCAAACTGGGTGTAGAAAAGCAGGCTCAAACCCCAGCCCAGGAGGAGCTGTGGGCTCACTTTTTCTGCACGTGCAGTGGCAGTGCAGGCACCCACTGAGCAACCAGCATGGGGGTCAGGGGAGTCCTGCAGGTGCCTCCTGGGGTGCAGAACCCCAAATGCTGGAGCGGAGTTCTGTTACCACGAGACAGCTCTGAGGAGGGGAACGTTTTCCCAAAATTTGTAGAACCATTGGAAAAAGAAGTCACAAACCGCTGT